CCCCATTTTCCCCCATTTTCCCCATTCCCACCTGGCACACGAACGGGAACATTCCGGGTCCGATGTGATACCCGTCCAATCCCAACGGAAAAACGGCGGCGAGCGCCAGGGTGCATCCCACGGCCGTCATGTTGTTCAGGTAGGGCTGGGAATTCTGGATGTACCTGGAAAAGAAAAAAATCCGGGAATGAGGGAATTTCCCTCCTCCCCAAGAAAAAAAACCGGGAAAATCCCGATGACGTCACCACTTGGAAGGGATTTTTCCCGTTTTTTCCGAGTTTTCCCGGATTTTTTTTTTCCCCTCGTTTGTTGAAGTTTTTCCCAGATTTTCCCAATTTTTTTCCTGGTTTTCCCAATTTTTTCCTGGTTTTCCCAATTTTTTCCTGGTTTTCCCAATTTTTTCCTGGTTTTTACTGTTTTCCCTCATTTTTTCCCTGTTTCTCCCATTTTCCCCAGGTTTTTACAATTTTTTCCCAGTTTTTTCCCATTTTTTCCTGGTTTTTACCATTTTCCCTCATTTTTTCCCGGTTTCTCCTATTTTTTCCAGGTTTTCCCCATTTTTCCCAGGTTTTTCCCATTTTTTTCCTCATTTTCACCATTTCCCCCCTTTTTTCCCCTGTTTTTCCCAAGTTTTCCCAGATTTTCCCATTTTTTCCTGGTTTTTACCATTTTCCCTCATTTTTTCCCGGTTTCTCCTATTTTTTCCAGGTTTTTCCCATTTTTCCCAGGTTTTTCCCATTTTTTTCCAGCTTTCCACCATTTTCCCTCATTTTTTTCCCATTTCTCCAATTTTTCCCAGTTTTTCCTCAGTTTCTCCTGGTTTTCCCTATTTTTCCCCAATTTTCCCGGTTTTTCCATTTTTCTCATGTTAAACCCCTAAAAAATCGGGAATTTTTTCACTTAAACTCCTAAAAATCAGAATTTTTTTCACTTAAACTCCTAAAAATTGAATTTTTTTTCACTTAATCCCCCAAAATTCAGAATTTTTTTCACTAAAACCCCTAAAAACTGGATTTTTTTTCACTTAAACCCCTAAAAATTCGGAATTTTTTCACTTAAACCCCTAAAAATTGGGATTTTTTTCACTTAAACCCCTAAAAAAATGGAATTTTTTTCACTTAAACCCCCAAAATTCAGAATTTTTTCCACTTAAACCCCTAAAAATCAGAATTTTTTTCACTTAAACCCCTAAAAATCCAGGATTTTTTCCCTCCAAACACCCAAAATCCCCGGATTTTTTTGGGAATTTGATGGGAATTTTTGGGAATTCGGGAATTTTCCCACCTCACGTGCCCGTTGTAGATGTTGAAAGCCAAACAAACGACGGCCAGGACGATTCCCAACAACGCCAACACCGAGACGGAAATGAACAATTTTTGGGAAAGGAACCGGAACGTTGTGATCACCTTGGTGTAATCGGCCGGAGGGGACCCCCCTGGGCACAAAAATTGGGACAAATCCCCCAAAAAATCAGGAATTTGGGAAAATCCGGGAGGATTTTCAGCGTTTTCCCCCCTTTTTTCCTCATTTTTTCCATATTTTCCCCATTTTTAATTTGCTTTTCATTCCCCCTCCCCCATTTTTCCCAGTTTTTCCCAATTTTCCCCAAGTTTCCCATTTTTTCCCAGTTTTTCCCATTTTTTCCCATTTTCCACCAGTTTTTTCCCAATTTTTCCCAGTTTTTCCCAATTTTCCCCAAGTTTCCCATTTTTTCCCAGTTTTTCCCATTTTTTTCCCATTTTCCACCAGTTTTTCCCAAGTTTTTCCCAAGTTTTTCCCAATTTTTCCCAAGTTTCCCATTTTTTTCCAGGTTTTCCCAAGTTTCCCATTTTTTTCCAGGTTTTTCCAAGTTTTTCCCATTTTCCCCCCAGTTTCTCACATTTTTTCCCAGTTTTTCCCAAGTTTTTCCCATTTTTTCCCATTTTTCCCATTTTTTCTCAGCTTCTCACATTTTTCCCATTTTCCCCCATTTTTTCCCCAGTTTTTCCCAAGTTTTCCCATATTTTCCCATCTTTTCCCATTTTTCCCAGTTTTTTCCCATTTTTTCCCATTTTTCCCATTTTTTCCCATTTTCCCCAATTTTCTCACATTTTTTCCCAGTTTTCCCCCAGTTTCTCACATTTTTTTCCCAGTTTTTTCCAATTTTTTCCCATTTTTCCCAAGTTTTTCCCATTTTCCCCCGTTTCTCACATTTTTCCCCAAAGTTTCTCACATTTTTTCCCATTTTTTCTCATCTTTTCCCAATTTTTCCCAATTTTTCCCCAGTTTTTCCCAGTTTCTCAGTTTCTCACCCATTTTTCCCAGTTTTTCCCAGTTTTTCCCAAGTTTTTCCCATTTTTTCCCATTTTTTCTCATTTTTTTCCAATTTTTGCCCAGTTTTCCCCAGTTTCTCACATTTTTCCCCAGTTTTTCCCATTTTTTCCCATTTTTCCCATTTTTCCCGGTTTTTTCACATTTTCCCCCCAGTTTCTTACATTTGTTCCCAGTTTTTACGAGTTTTTCCCATTTTTTCCCCAAGTTTCCCACATTTTTCCCAGTTTTCCCCCAAGTTTCTCACTTTTTCCCATTTTTCCCCCAGTTTTTCCCATTTCTCCCCATTTTTTCCCGTTTTTCCCATTGTTTTTTCCCGTTTTTCCCATTTTCCCGTTGTTTTTCCCATTGTTTTTTCCCAATTTTCCCGTTGTTTTTCCTGTTGTTTTTCCCGTTGTTTTTCCCGTTGTTTTTCCCGTTGTTTTACCCATTGTTTTTTCCCATTTTCCCATTGTTTTTCCTGTTGTTTTTCCCATTGTTTTTTCCCCATTTTCCCATTGTTTTTCCCATTGTTTTTTCCCAATTTTCCCATTGTTTTTTCCTGATTTTCCCGTTGTTTTTTCCCGTTGTTTTTCCCATTGTTTTTTCCATTTTCCCATTGTTTTTCCCGTTGTTTTTCCCGTTGTTTTTCCCGTTGTTTTTTCCCATTGTTTTTTCCCGTTTTTCCCATTTTCCTGTTGTTTTTCCCGTTGTTTTTCCCATTTTCCCGTTGTTTTTCCCGTTGTTTTTCCCATTTTCCCGCTGTTTTTCCCGCTGTTGTTTTTCCCACTGTTGTTTTTCCCGCTGTTGTTTTTCCCGCTGTTGTTTTTCCCGCTGTTGTTTTTCCGGCTGTTTCTCACCAATCCATTTGTCGTTGTTGTACCAGGACAGGTTGTCCTTGGTGCTGTCGTAGTACCCGATCTTCTTGTACACCCCACCTGCGGCACGGGTGACAAGGGACAGGTGACACCGGGACAGGTGACACCGGGACGGGTGACACCGGGACAGGTGACAATGGACAGGTGACAATGGACAGGTGACACTGGGACAGGTGACACCGGGACAGGTGACAATGGACAGGTGACACCAGGACAGGTGACAATGGACAGGTGACAATGGACAGGTGACAAGGGACAGGTGACACCTTGAGGACACCAGGACAGGTGACAATGGACAGGTGACAATGGACAGGTGACACCGGGACAGGTGACACCGGGACAGGTGACAATGGACAGGTGACACCAGGACAGGTGACAATGGACAGGTGACAATGGACAGGTGACAAGGGACAGGTGACACCTTGAGGACACCAGGACAGGTGACAATGGACAGGTGACAATGGACAGGTGACACCGGGACAGGTGACACCGGGACAGGTGACAAAGGACAGGTGACACCAGGACAGGTGACAATGGACAGGTGACAATGGACAGGTGACAAGGGACAGGTGACACCTTGAGGACACCAGGACAGGTGACAATGGACAGGTGACAATGGACAGGTGACACCGGGACAGGTGACACCGGGACAGGTGACAATGGACAGGTGACAAGGGACAGGTGACACCTTGAGGATACCAGGACAGGTGACACCAGCACAGGTGACAAGGGACAGGTGACACCAGCAGAGGTGACACCAGGACAGGTGACAAGGGACAGGTTACACTGGGACAGGTGACAATGGACACATGACACAGGACAGGTGACAATGGACAGGTGACACCGGAACAGGTGACACCGGAACAGGTGACACCTTGGGGACACCAGAACAGGTGACAATGGACGGGTGACACCTTGAGGACACCAGGACGGGTGACACCAGCGCAGGTGACAATGGACAGGTGACACCAGGACAGGTGACACCAGCACAGGTGACAATGGACAGGTGACAATGGACGGGTGACAATGGACAGGTGACACCTTGGGGACAATGGACAGGTGACACCAGGACAGGTGACACTGAACAGGTGACAATGGACAGGTGACACCTTGAGGACACCAGGACAGGTGACAATGGACAGGTGACAATGGCCAGGTGACACCAGGGGGTGGCACCGGTGGCACTTGAGGACATCCATGGGTAGTGGAGCCAGAGGGGGTTGGTGTCACCTGAAGGTCCTTCAGTGTCACCCAAAGGTCCCTCAGTGTCACCTGAAGGTTCCTCAGTGTCACCTTAAGGTCCCTGAAGGTCTCTCAGTGTCACCCAAAAATCCCTCAATGTCACCTGAATGTCACCTGAAGGTCCCTCAATGTCACCTGAAGGTCTCTCAGTGTCACCTGAAGGTCCCTCAGTGTCACCTTAAGGTCCCTGAAGGTCTCTCAGTGTCACCCAAAAATCCCTCAATGTCACCTGAATGTCACCTGAAGGTCCCTCAGCGTCACCTGAAGGTTCCTCAATGTCACCCAAAGGTCCCTCAATGTCATCCAATTGTCCCTGAAGGTCCCTCAGGGTCACTCAAAGGTCCCTCAGCATCACCCAAAGGTCCTTGAATGTCACCTTAAGGTCCCTGAAGGTCTCTCAATGTCACCTGAAGGTCCCTCAGCATCACCCACCATTGTCCCCCGGTGTCCCCTCACCTTGGAGCTGCTCGATGAGGGTCCAGGCCATGCGGGAACCGCTGGCGTCGAACACCACGTGACCCTGGTGGGGACACGGGGACGGCGTTGGGGACACCCTTGGTGTCACCTCCACCCAGAGGTGACTCTTGGTGACACCTCAATGTCCCCTCCACCCACAGCTGGATTCTGGTGACACCTTTGATGTCACCTCCACCCAAAAATTACTTTTGGGGCCACCCTTGAGGTCACCTCCACCCACAGCTGGATTCTGGTGACACCTTGGACGTCACATCCACCCACAGCTGGATTTTGGTGTCACCTTTGACGTCACCTCCACCCACAGCTGGATTCTGGTGACAATGTCCACCCACCGAGACGCCCTCGAAGGCCGAGGAGTTGAGGGCCCGGTAGATCTCGTCGGTGATGTTCTTGTTGTTGTAGTTGAAGTCCTCCAACCTCAAACCCTTCTTGACCAACTCTTGGGACGTCTTGTTGAGGGCCAAGGCCAAGGCCCAGATGGCGTCGTAGGCCAGAGGCGCCTCCTGGAACCCCCCGGTCTCCTCCGGGTTCTTCCCCAGCCTCTTCTGGAGCTTCTCGATGAACTCTTGGGACGTCTGGTGGACAACACCCAACGGTCACCCAGTGGTTGGGTTGTAGACCACCCAAAGTTGACCCAAAGTTGGGTTGTAGACCACCCAAAGTTGACCCAAAGCTGGGTTGGAGACCACCCAACATTGACCCAATGGTTGGGTTGGAGACCACCCAAGGTTGACCCAAGGTTGACCCAAAATTGACCCAAAGTTGGGTTGGAGACCACCCAAGGTTGACCCAAAATTGACCCAAAGTTGGGTTGGAGACCACCCAAGGTTGACCCAAAGCTGAGTTGGAGACCACCCAAAGTTGACCCAAGTTTTGAGTTGTAGACCACCCAAGGTTGACCCAAAGTGAGGTTGTAGACCACCCAAAGTTGGGTTGGAGACCACCCAAAGTTGACCCAAAGCTGGGTTGGAGACCACCCAACATTGACCCAATGGTTGGGTTGGAGACCACCCAACGTTGACCCAAAATTGGGTTGAAGATCACCCAAGGTTGACCCAAGGTTGACCCAAAGTTGACCCAAAGTTGGGCTTTTGAACACCCGAAGTTGACCCAAAGTTGAGTTGGAGACCACCCTAAGTTGACCCAAAGTTGGGTTGGAGACCACCCAACGTTGACTCAAAGTTGTCTTGGCCACCACCCAACGATGATCCAACGCTTGTCTCAGCTGACCCCTCCCAGTGCTCCCAGTGCTCCCAGTACCATGTTGGAGATGCTGCGGGTGTTCTCGGGGTTGAGCATGACGATCTCCGTGGTGACGTGGCCTTCAACAGCCTCGGCCATCTCGGCCTCGGTGCAGTTGATGGCCGGGTCCTTGATGCGGAACCAGTTGTCGGCGTACCAGCCAATCAGGAACCAGACGTACTTCTTGCCGTAGAGCTTCTCCTTGTAGACCTGGAAGGGTGGGGAGATCCGAGATCCGTCATCGGAATCCATCCGTTGGTCTTCGTGGTTGGTCCATGAGCATTGATCCATCATCATTGATCCATCATCATCATCATCATCATCATCATCATCATCATCATCATCATCATCATCATCATTGTTATCATCACCATCCATGTCCATCCATGATCCATCAATTCCCACCACTGATCCATCATTATTGATCCATCATCATCATCATTGATCCATCATCTTCATCATCTCCATCATCATCCGTCTCCATCCATCCATGATCCATCATCGTCTATTATCAGAATCCATCATCCATCTCCATCCATGATCCATTGATTTCCATCATTGATCCATCATCATTGATCCATCATCATCATCATCATCTCCATCCATCCATGATCCATCAACTCCCACCACTGATCCATCATCATCATCATCATCATCATCATCATCCATCTCCATCCATGATCCATTAATTCCTACCATTGATCTTCATCGTTGGTCCATCAGCATTGATCCATCATCATCATCATCATCATCATCCATCTCCATCCATCCATGATCCATCAATTCCCACCACTGATCCATCATCATCATCATCACCATCATCTCCATCCATCTCCATCCGTGATCCATCAATTCCCACCACCGATCCATCATTCACCAA